TGTCTCTCTCGGTATCCATAACTTTACCTCTCAAGTAAATAAATAAATTAAAAAAAAAAAAAAAAGAACCTGAGAGGTACCTGACTTTAGCCCAGTTTGTCTGGCTGGATCTCTCAACTGCTGCTCACCTATGAACAGGGGCGTGAGCAGAGGGCCTTAATGCTCCAGTTAGCTTATCTCTTCCTAAAGCTTTGTATCCGTAGGATGTGAACCAAGGCAGCGGCTGTCACAGTCAGCTTTGCCCTGCAGAGCCCAGAGCCCCTGGGGCCTTTGCTCTCACTCCCAGGACAGGAATGTCCTTCCACCATTTTCCTCACTTCCTGCAGGTCACGGCCCTAAAGGGGACGCTCCCCTATTTTTGTTATGCTGGAGGGTCCTTGCTGGTGTCATGTGAGAGATTCCTGGGTGCCCTGCTGGCCTCCACATAGGGAGTTCTGGACACTGCCCTGGAGGATACATCACAGGTGGGCTCACAGACTGTAGTGAGATGGTCAGAGCACAGCGTCGCTTCCCTTAAAAACACTGCAAGAAGCAAGTGAGAAAAGATGAACGAGTTGGTTCAGTGAGCAGGTGGGTTGGCAGGACCACCCGAATCCAGTGCGTGTGGTTTTCACTTACCTGGTGTCTCTTGGCTGAATCATAGCCAAGACACGGTAGCTGGCCCCTGATGTCACTCATCAATTAGTCCACCCACAGCTATGGTTTCTACATTTTTTTCTTAAGTAGAGAACTTAAGAGTGTACCCAATGTGTGTCTGGAAAGGCCTCCTGACCCCTGTATCTGTGACTTCTTAGTCTTTAGCTTCTCTCGGACATCTGTGCCCCCGGACCCTTGCCTCTTCTCTGTCTAAACACTTTATTTACTTACTGCTTAGAACATCGTAGGTATGTCCCCTATGTTTTACTAGCTACAAATGTATTTATCTTTTTTGATAGAATTGCTCATTTATGAAGCTGAAGATGTGTATGTAACAATCCATATTGTTTATTGCTGTACCTGGGGCCATAAGAGGCAGGCACTCAGTAAACTTAGCTGAATGGGAGAATCTCTCTCCCTGCTCTCTGCTCCCACCTGCTTTGCCTCCCGCACACGAGCGTACACATCGCACAGGAACCACAGAGACCTGGGTTGTGGGTGTTAGCATGTTTGCCATTCACCCTATTTATTTCCATTCTGCAGTTGTAAATAACGGCAGGGCTTAACATGATGGTCTTCAAGTTTTCCGGTATAGGTTTCTTTACTCCTCTGCTCTTGGGAGAGTCTTAGTGCTGTGGCTGAACCCCTAACCCCATCAAACACTTGGACCAAACTGAAAGCTTCTGTTAGGACCATCACCATCATTGCTAGGAAGTTCACTACCAAGATCTGAAAGTGGAAGCAATTTTTTCCACAAAGCATAATTGAATTTTGTATAAAGAAGTCTAAAAGTGGAGAAAAACTACATTTTAAAAATTTCAGAAATGATATCATATCATAGCAATAAAAATTTATAAACAAGTCTAAAGAATGTTCCAGACAGCTTTTTTTAAAAAAAAAATTATTGATTTATGTTTGGAAATCAGAGCTATGGAGCAAGAGGGAGGATGGAGAGAGAGATTTTTCCATTTGCTTGTTCACTCTTCAGTGGCCACATCAGCCAGCACTGGGCCAGGCCAAACCCAGGAGCCAGGAGCTCCATCCGGGTCTCAGTCTCCCATTTGGGTGACAGGGGCCCAAACACCTGGGCCATCCTCCACTGTTCTTGCAGGCAGCTGGATAGGAACTGGCAACTGGATAGGAACACGGACTGTGGCAGCTTTACTGGTCCCAGACAACTTCAAAAACTGCAATAACATTCTTATGAAATAAATACATAAATAAGTGATATTATAAATTACCATCACTGAGAAGAACAAGGATTAAAAGTCCAAGATAAAGCAACATATATGTTTGTGTATTTGTTATTTAGTTCTGAATATATCTTATTACTCAAGAACAAAAAAATGCAGTGCTCTACCCACTACCAACTTGGATCGGAATGTCCCATTTGTTCAAAACGCCTATGAATAAATGCATAGGTGTCCTGATCTGCTTAGTTTTCAGTGTGCCCAACAGCCACGAGCGGTCTGGGGGTGAGAAGTGAGGACTTGTTTCAATCTTTCTTTAAGGCCTCACATTCAAAACTGAATAGGCTGAGCTCTGTATTCTAACTCATGCCTTTATGCTGGCTAAAAATAAAACTATCCCTGTCTATACTACCTCGAAATACGCCTTCCATATCCTCCTATACCACTTGGCGATTTGGAAAGAAAGAGGCCTTCTTACCACTAAAGGGACAGACATCTCCAATGCTACTTTCATAACCCCTCTTTCCCAACACGAATCGGACTTATCCACTGTAAGGCTCGTCAGACTGACAGCTCTGTCATCAGATAAAAGGGCAGACAGGCGGCCTGTCAGGTGACACTGTCTGCCTTTTCCTCCAGCCCGTCCTCCGCTCCACCTGCTATACTAATAAACCACCCTCAAGACCAACAATCCCAACAGCCCTCCACTTAGGCCATCTTATCCTATCTCCACCATTTGTTTCTTCTTCTTTTTTTTTTTTTTTAAAGATTTTATTTATTTTATTTGAGAGAGAGAGTTACTGACAGTGAGAGGTTTGGTTCACTCCCCCAAATGGCCACAATGGCCGGAGCTGCGCTGATCCAAAGGCAGGAGCCAGGTGATTCTTCCAGGTCTCCCACATGGGGGCAGGGGCCCAAGGACTTGGGCCATCTTCTACTGCTTTCCTGGGCCATAGCAGAGAGCTGGATCAGAAGAGGAGCAGCCGGGACTAGAACCCCACGCCCATATGAGATGCTGGCTCCGCAGGCGGAGAATTAAGCTACTGCGCCACAGTGTCGACCCCACCATTTGTTTCATCCCAACATTTCCTCCTTATGATCGTTTATCAAGCATTCTCTTCCTCTTTCACCAGAAGATACCAAACATCTTCAACAGCCCACCTCTTCATGTTCTGTATGTCAAAGAGCAAACCCAAAGTCTAACCTCCATCCTCTACCCTTCCCCTCCCATCAGGCCCGAGGACACCTGCCGGCCTCTGACTGGCAGGTGGACTTCACCCATATGACCAGAGTACGGCACTGTCAATAGCTCTTGGTACTGGTAGATACCTTTTCTGGGTGGGTCGAGGCCTTCCTTACTACTAACAAACGGGCACTAAGTTTCCATCATCCCACTTGAGGAGATTATTCGCTGTTTTGGGGTCCCTGGCTCTCTCCAGTCAGACAATGGCCCCGAATTCACATGCCAGGTCACGCAGCTACTTATCAACCCCAGTCCTCAGGAAAAGTAGAAAGGACAAATCTTACACTAAAAGCTGCTCTGACCAAGCTCTTGAGCTCCACTTGGGCTGGATTAAACTACTCCCATCGGCCCTGTGCTATATGAGGGCCCTTCCAAAAAAACCTCTCAATATTTCACCTTTTGGACTGATGTAAGGACGTCCCTTAGTTCTTCCAACGATGCACTCTCAATCCCCACTCCTGCCACCCCATCTGATCCCACCTCTCTTCATCCACAAATGGATCTATGGAGATGCGCACTTACTGCCCAGCCCATACCCAGATGCTCTGGGCAACTCCTCTCCTATAAATGTAGGGGATAATGTCTTCCTGTCTTCTTTACATCCCTCCTTATCCCCTTGCCCCACCAAACTACAGGCTAGGTGGGCTGGATCTTACAGGGCGTCCCCCATTGGGTCCACCTCACTTCCTCCCCCCTCACTATACAGTTATCCCCACAGGACCACTCACAGCCCAGCTCACCTGGACTCAAGCCCCACTACCAATGGTGCCTGAAAACTCAGACCCTTCTGCCCTTGATGAACCTGCCTCCTGGAAGCAGTGACCACCCAGCCACCTGCCATTTCCAACACTGGATAAGTACTGATCCTCTCTTACACCGGTACCAACTCTTCCTACAGCTTCTGTGGGAGGAATATCAAACACGCTCCTCACCCATCCACCCTCCTGGCTCCTTTCAGAGATTGAATATTTACACCTCCAGGAGACCTCCGACGTCACTCCCCTTGAGATCTGCAGTTTCCCTGTCTCCTCTTAGTGTCTTATTCCCTCTCCATACCCCAGGATGGAACTCCTAATTACCTTCTTTCTACTATTCCTTTGTGCTGGCTCTAAACCAGCACCCGCCCCTGGGATACGACATGCATGGCAAGTCCAGGTTCATTCTACTTCCACTCCTTCTAAACTGCTTAACTCTACCTTCTGCCCCATTGCAGGATGTGTGGACCCTATCACTTTGGACTGTGACTTTGCTCAGGCCTGCTCCCACAACTGCTTTGACTGGACTGAGTACACATTGTCCCAACTGGAAGCACACCCATTCTATCTGTGCTTGACCAAGGACAATAAGGGGTTGTGTGAGGACACGTACTGGCAGGGCTGTCCATCATGGTCTTGTAAATGCTACTATACAGACCATGGCTATGGCCTCCCCAGAAAACAACTCTTCTAAATCATGCCACCAGGTTACACCAGGTACTCTCTGCTCACAGACAGCCCCATAACTTCCCAGCGTGCTCAACCCCTTTTAACTTTTTCTATAACCGAGCCTCACCTTCAGGACTGGCAAAATGGGGTTGAAGGATCAATCAGGCCGGCGCCGCGGCTCACTAGGCTAATCCTCCGCCTAACGGCGCCAGCACACCGGGTTCTGGTCCCCGGTCGGGGCGCCGGATTCTGTCCCGGTCGCCCCTCTTCCAGGCCAGCTCTCTGCTGTGGCCAGGGAGTGCAGTAGAGGATGGCCCAGGTGCTTGGGCCCTGCACCCCATGGGAGACCAGGAAAAGCACCTGGCTCCTGGCTCCTGCCATCGGATCAGCACGGTGCGCCGGCCGCAGCGCGCCGGCCGCGGCGGCCATTGGAGGGTGAACCAACGGCAAAAGGAAGACCTTTCTCTCTGTCTCTCTCTCTCACTGTCCACTCTGCCTGTCAAAAAAAAAAAAAAAAAAAAAGGATCAATCAACATCTATACTGGTTCTAACATGGGGGATCCACATGGAGCTATAAAAATCATTAGGGTTTGCACTCAGCTCCCAACAGCCCCCATGGATGTCGTAGTTGATACGGTAAAGGAATCTTCTAAACATGTGTCCCAGTTAATTAATCCTAGAAAACCTCCTCTAACGTGCTTACAGCTCATTAATCTATCACTTACTTTACTTCGTCAGCTGGCCAGTTCTACCTTGCCTTTGGCCCTTTATCAACAAGAGTATTTTGTTTGTGCTCCCCTTCAGGAACCTCCCATTGCTGCTACTCTACTCTCCAATATCTCTGCTCTGACAAACACCTGTACTCCCTGTCCTCAGGGTTGTCGGTCATCTTCCTTTACATTCAGGAGGACAGAATGCAGCATGCTGGGTTACAAATGTGGCCGCAGAACACAATGAACTTGTACGTCACAACATTCCTTGTGTTACCAACATGACCGTCAATTCCCTGTCTAGCCCACTTGGGACCTCATTCCTCTGCAGTCATACTCTCCAATCCTGCATCAGTGACTCTACCCCCGGCCCTTGTGTATTGCTGGTCCTCTCCCCTCACTTAATGTTGTATAATTATTCAGAATTCTTTCTACAGACAATCCCCTCTACGAGCGGCCCTTCTCCCGCTTCTGGCTGGGATCAGCCTCGAAGCCTCCTTCTCCTCAGCAGTGACTTCAGGAACACCTTTGGGCCACGACGTTACCTCGACCAACCAACTCCAAGAACAACGCCAGCAGTTACAACAGATCACCAGGTCCACTGAGACCCAGGGTCTCCAAAGCCGAATCACCTCACTAGCAGGGGTGGTACTACAAAACAGACAGGCGTCAGACCTTATAACAGCTGGAAAAGGGGAAACTTGTATCTTCCGGGAAGAACAATGTTGTTATTATGTTAACCAGTCAGGCCAGGTGGAACATTTAAAAATTAATTTTTATATCGTGTGTGCTTTAATAGTAGAAATGATGTAAGATATAAACTTAAAAGAGTTACAGGCATGGTGCAAATTTCAGGTTTTGAATAAAACTGAAATGTTCAATAGTGATAATTTTCTGAAGTCCTTGTTTATGGGAAAAGAAAAAAAACTTTAGTTTTATGTTTTTTTTTTTTTAACCTCAATTCCTATCAGGAGTATGTATATTATGTGAATATGGGGTTGTACCTATAGTACATCATGATTTAAATATACCAGAGGCTTACCTGCTAGTTCTTGTGAAATGCTATTTTGAGGATTTGGAATTACATAAACTACTTACTCCACTTAAATTTTGGTGGTAACACTGTGTAACAGTTTACTTTTGAAAATAATTCTTTTCAAAAATTTGAGAGGAGCTGGTGCTGTGGCGCAGTGGGTTGACGCCCTGGCCTGAAGCACCGGCATTCCATATGTGCGCCGGTTCTAGTCCTGGCTGCTCCTCTTCTGATCCAGCTCTCTGCTATGGCCCAGGAAAGCAGTAGAAGATGGGCCCCTGCACCCTCATGGGAGACCTGGAAGAAGCTCCTGGCTCCTGCTTCAGATCGGCGCAGCTCTGGCTGTTGTGACCAATTGGGGAGTGAACCAGCAGATGAAAGATCTCTCTCTCTCTCTCTCTCTCTCTCTCTCTTCCTCTCCTCTCTCTGTGTAACTCTGACTTTCAGATAAATAAATCTTTTAAAAAAATTGAGAAAGAGGTGGAGAGAGCGAGCATGCTCTCATTTGCTGGTTCACGCAAACATTTGCAATGGCTGACAATAGCCAGGAGCTGGCAACTCAGTCCAGGTCTCACAAATGGATGGGAAACCAAATCACTTGAGCTTTATATATTTTAGGTTTATTTATTTATTTGACAGAGTTACAGAGAAAGAGAAGCAGAGTGGGTGTTTTAATTTTTTAAAAAGATTTATTTATTTATTAGAAAGGTAGAGCTACAGAGAGAGAAAGACCTTCCATCCACTGGTTCACTCCCCAGATGGCCACAATGGTCAGGTTGGGCAAGGCCGAAGCCAGGAGCTAGGAGCTTCATCCAGATATCCCGTGTGTGTGCAGGGGCCCAACGACTGCTTTCCCAGGCCATTAGCAGAGAGCTCCAACTGTCGCCCATATGGGGTACAGACACTGCAGGCGGCGGCCTTACCCTCTACACCACAGTGCCAGCCCCTGCATTGTTTTCTTTGTTCTGTGCATCAGGGTTGATCTGAGTCTTGTAGTTTACCATAACTGGAAATAGAATCAGTAGCGTAGTATTTGTTTAAATGGCTTTTAAATGACAATACATAAATTCTAGGACTTCCAGCCCTTAAAATCTCTTAGCAAGGCAGTGGTAGGAAACTGATAGAGGTCAGGGGGTCACACCCTTGTCAGAGAGGTTCCCACAGAGGAGCCCGAGTCCTCCCTGTGACACTCACATGGGTCAGTTGTGCACAACCAAAGAAGTGAGACACATGGGGTGTAAATAAGTAAGGAGACTACACACTGTATTTTGGATCAAGAAATCACGTTGGAACTTTATAATTCAATTCTGTGAAGTCCAAAGTATAAATACAGAGAATAATGGCACCTTAAAAAAAAAAGTATGTTGTATTTGAGTCGGATCTCCTTAAAGGCTGGCATTTTATTCTGGGTCTACATCTGTGCAGAGCCCACACCAAAGAGCTCAGCACGCATCCGTCTGAGTCACCTTCCTCCTCGCCCAGGACACCGTGTGTGGTCAAAGCTGATGGCTGTTCAGTCACTCTGTCTGCCTTGTTTTCCAGGCCCACCAGCCTCCTCTCACTGGGATGACCCTTTCACACTGCCAGCTGAGACACTGGAAGCTCATCTGCCTGCACTGCTCTGTGTCTGCGGATTCGAACCTCTTCCGGAGGACACCTCCCTGACGCCACCCTGCCTTCTGACAAGGTGGGCCCCCACTCTGCTAGCCATTCTCGGCATCTTTTAGGCAGTTGCGACTCCCTCTGGTCTGGTGTTATGCTGGGGCAGTGGCCGCATCCTGGAGCAAAGTTCTTTGAGGCACAAGTCACTACTTTAAATAACTTCAGAAGCAGTGATGGAATGAAGAAAACAGAATACTACACACAAGTCACTGCTGGAGAAAGCTCAGCCCCCAGACGAGGCATGAGGTGCCTGTGCCCTGCCCCAGCCCCTGGCCCTCCAATGTCCGCAGTGTTTCAGTCCATTTCAGGAACAAAGGATGGCCTGCAGCAGGCCCTGGAGGCCACCATCACCTGTGTGATGGGTGAGCATGAGATCCCCTAGGGGCCCAGGCACACACAGGCTATGGACCTCACAGTGGCGGCCTTGGTTGTGATCATGCTAGGTTCTGTGATCCATGGTCGGCCTCCAACCAGCTGCTTTCACAAATAATGGGGACCAGCCATTTCTGTTTTGTTTTATTTTGCAAATAAAATGTCCTTGTACGCTTGAGGTGCTTTTCTCTCTTTTGTTTCTAAACAATAAGGAAAAAAATCAAGTGCAAATTTGCTCTCAGAAAATCTTGAAAACTGTTTGGGGGGGCGAGGAAGGGATTCCTACAAAACACACGCACACGCACACGCACACCCACCAGCCTCATGGAGCCATCTTCTGCCCTTTCCTGTGGTCAGCATGGGAGCCTGCCAGGTCCTGCCAGTTGAATATTGTAGTGAAATTGACACATTAAAACCTGCATGTTGGGGTGGCACTGTGGCACAGCAGATAAAGCCACTGCCCGCAGCACTGGCATCCCATGTGGGCGGGCGCTGGTTGAGTCTCAGCTGCTCCACTTCCTATCCAGCTCCCTGCTAAGAAGCATGGGAAAATGGCAAAAGATGGCCCAAGCACTTGGGCCCATGTACCCATGTGGGAAACCAAATGAAGCTCCTGGCTCCTGGCTTTTGCCTGGCCCAGCCCTGGCTACTGTGGCCATTTCGGGAGTGAACCAGCAGGTGGATGATTTCAATCTCTGTCTTTTCTCCCTCTCTCTCTCTCTCTCTCTCTCTCTCTCTTTCTTTTTTAAAGCTTTATATATTTGAAGGCAGAGTTACAGAGAGGAAGAGGCAGAAGAGAAAGAGAGAGGAGAGAGAGAGATAGTCTTCCTTCCACTGGTTCACTCCCCAGGTGGCTGCGCCAATCCGAAGCCAGGAGCCAGGAGTTTCTTCCGGGTCTCCCTCGTGAGTGCAGGGGCCCAAGGACTTGGACCATCTTCTACTGCTTTCCCAGGCCACAGCAGAGAGCTGGGTTGGAAGTGGGACTCGAACCGACACCCATAAGGGATGCCGGCACTGCAGGCGGTGCTTTATCTGCTACACCGCAGCGCCAGCCCTTCCCCTCTCTTTCTTATAACTCTGCCTTTCAAATGAAAAATAAATATTTTAAAATAAAATTTGCATATAAATTTTCTCAAAGCAAATGTTCAAAACTTGTGACTGATGTATCACGTGCTTACAGATATCCTTTATGATGTTTGTGTAAAGTGTATAGCAGCTTTGCAGGCTGAATGTGCTTCCCAGAGCGGAAACTGCCCTACAAAAAGGGGTCTTTGTCAGGGCTTGGCTCTGTCTGGTCCAACTTCAGGCAGCCACAGCGGCACAGCGAGCCCCCTCTCTGAGCAGCAGCCCCAGTGGGAGGAGCCTTGTGCTGTGTCTCCCAGAGTGAGGGAGGTCCTGATCTGCCAGAGTGCAGGCTGGAGAGTGTCGTGGGGAGGAGACACGTTGTTGGCAAGAATTGTCAAATGTAGCCCCTTTGTCTGTAATTAGCTAATTTATTTACAAAGCAGAATTTTTTATATAGGTATGCGTATATATATATAGAGATGTATATATATATAGAGAGAGAGAGAGAGACAGAGACAGAGACAGACAGACACAGAGACAGAGAGGTCTTCCATCCACTTGTTCAGTCCCCAAAGGGCCACAATGGCCAAGGCTTGGCTGACCAGGAGCCAGGAGCTTCTTCCAGGCTCCCACAGGAGTGCAAGGGGCCCAAGCACTTGGGCATCCGCAGCCTTCCCAGAGATTAGCAGGGAGCTGGGTCAGAAGTGCAGCAGCTGGGGCTGGATGCCAGCGTTGCAGGTGGTGGTTCAGCCTGCAGTGTGTTAATCTGCTGTGCCACAGCACTGGCCCCAATGAGCTGTTCAGTCCAACCTCGTTCTCAGTTTTCTTTAGTCTGCTTCACTGCTTATATCAAAGAATCCAAAGTCGGCCTGGTCCAGAGAAAAGTTTTCTGTCTCTGAGTCTATAGCTCATACCCAGACACAGCAAAAAGAAACAAATTGTAAAAGTGTTACTGGGGCTGGCACTGTGGTGTAGCGGGTAAGGCTGCCGCCTGCAGTGCTGGCATCCCGTATGGGTACTGGTTTGAGTCCCACTTCCAATCCAGCTCTCTGCTATGGCCTGAGAAAGCAGTAGAAGATGGCCCAAGTCCTTGGGCCCCTGACCCCACATGGGAGGCCCGGAAAAGCTCCTGGCTTTGGATTGGCACAGCTCCGGCTGTTGTGGTCAATTGGGGAGTGAACCAGCAGATGGAAGAGCGCTCTCTCTCTCTCTCTCTCTGCCTCTCTGTAACTCTGCCTTTCAAATAAATACATAAATGAATAGTTTAAAAAAAAAAAACCTAGTTGACTGAGGGTTGAACAATCAACACTGAGTAAAATGAATAGTATCAGAAAATCATACATGGCAAAGTGATACTATGGCTCTATGTGATAGTATTTTATAAACCGCATACCTCTGTGTATTACCTAAAGATACAGATGTATTTAGTACTAGCTGCCATTGCTGTAGGAATTCGGGAAGCCCAGTATTTGTCAGGTTCTCCTGAAGCTGTGGTCAGGACCAGGGTCATCTATAATCTCGACTGCACTGGAGCTCCAGGCCTGAGGGGGCTCACGCAGCCCTTGGTCAAGACCTCAGCTCCTTGCCCCATGGCTATCTCCAGAGGGCGACTCCTGACAAGGGCTGGCTGGCTGCTCCTGGAGTGAGTGATCCAGGAGAGTGGGAGCATCAGCATGAGAGTTCTCATCTGCTCTTGGATTTAACATCCTGTCCCCTCTGCCGTCCAGTGTTGACCACAGTACAGTGTGGGAGGGCACACGAAGGCGCAAACATGGATGCATGGTCACTAGGGCCGTCTGGGAGGCTGTTTGCCATCGTGGCCACACAACAGCTTGCCTCGCAGGTCTTAGAGCCGCAGGGTGAAAATCCAGGTGCTCCAGCTACACCTTAGTCCCAGCGTCACCAATGCTGGTCAATCAAATCTGAATTTTGGGGTTGGTGGCCTCTGGACAGGGGTATTCTCTCCCTCCCTCACCCCCAAGTTCTACTGGTGATTCTGATGCGTGATTAAAGCTGAGACCTGTCGGAGGAGATATAAGGAATGTAAGACTGATATTTAATTGAACAAGCTATTCAATTATTACCTAATTTTATGGATAATACACAAGAGGAAATATCAGAGACTTTGCTCTCTTGGCTTGAGACAGTGGAAATAAGGCATGAATCTACAGAAACCTGGTTCAGGCATGGATGAGGGTGAGGTTTTTTGTTTGGAAAGCAGCCCCATTTGCCAACAGCCCATGTTTGTGTGGCTGCTGCTGCCCCCAGCTGGGAGCAGGTTGGAGACTGATGATTCCCCCATAAGCACTTGCTTGTTAGGGAGATTGGGAAGAAGGCTTTTCTGGGACGAAAGCAGCTTTTGGGAGTGAAAAGCTCAGCGTTCCTCTGGCATTCCTGTGGGAGTCCTGATGCCTCACACCGGGGCTTCTTCTCGGTCCACTCCGGCAGGGTCAGGAAGTAGACACACGTGGAGTGCCTTGTGCCTCTTCCTTTGAAGACCAAGGCCAGAGTTTGAAATAAGTCAGTGCTGATGACACAACCCCACAGCTCCCTGCAGCTACTGAGAGCATGGCTACATGACACACAACCCACAGCCATGATGGCGTTGGTGTGGGCAGGGCGTATCAATCTTACTGCAGGCTCTCATGCCAACATGAGATTACTAAGTGCAGGCACATAAGAGGTGTACAAAGTAACAGCAGAGTTTGTTCATTAGGTGAGAATGTGAACACACACACCCATGCGTGTGGGTTGCCCCACACTGAGAAATACTGGTTATGAGTGGGCCAGAGGATGGCCCAAAGGGAGGAGAGGTGTGGAAAGGGAGAGAGGGAGAGCACCTGTGTGGCGCCTGTGGCCATGGTCTCCTGGTGAGAGAGAGAGAGAGAATGCACTCCCTATGTTGGCATCTTTTGTGATAGGGACAGGAGCCTCTACAGCCGTGAAGCCACCTGGGAGTTTTATGGCACCTCCACAAGTCCCACAGGAAACTTAGTGTCCACATTTTCATGGCAACCCCCCCCCTTAGGTCCTAGATGAAGCAGGTGCATCCTGGAAAGGGGGGCCATCTTGATTGACAAGTCGGGGAACAGTGTTACATCTGGAGGCTTGCAGAGACTTCCAGCTCAAACAGACATATCTAGCTGCTAGCCTATTTGCCCCATATCAGTGCCACAGAAGGTTCTCCATGCTCTGGAGCCTCCCCTGCCCGTAGCTCCACTCTGGCTTACTTTCCTCCTTGTTCCCTGGGTTCCAGCCACACTGGCCACCTGTTGTCCCGTGGATCCTGCTAGCCCAGGGAGTGCCCTTCCACCCCCTCCACAGCACCTCAGGGCCTCCTGTTCTTTCTTTGGCCTACAATAATTTTCCCCCAAAGGCCTGTCTCATCTCTAAGAGCTTTCCTCGTTCCAAAGAGCTGAGACAGAAGTGCAGTGTGCAGTCCATTCTTCTCTGAAGGGATGGTGAGGCACAAGCTGGCCAGGACACCACGAAGGTCAGCCGTGTTTGTAGGGACAGATGCATCCTGTACACTGGACAGGTACAGCAAGAAGAGGCCAAGGACGTTCACCCCGCAAGGCGGGTGTTATTAGGCTGGAACAGGACAAAGACCACAAACAGGACCCTTGCCCAGAAAGCCAAGTTGCCCCAATCAGGGAAGAGTGGGCAACCACAAGAAAGAAACAATTGAGAAGCTGCAGGAATAAGAATAATCTTCCCTACACAACTTTCATTAAAAATGGCTGAAATGGAAAAAAAAGAGCTGATGTTCTGCGACGCTGTTACTTAAAATGGAAAAGGCAGAGCCTCTCCCTTGTCTCCTTTCTGTGTTGCTTTCCACCTTCCTACAAATGTAATATTATCTGACAGTCTTTAATGTATCAGCCCCATCAGAAAATATCCAACGAATAAACTCTTCCTGTTTATACAGCTGCATTTCTTTGACCTCAGGGGAGTTCCTGGCACATAGCATACACTCACTAAGTAGCTTGGAAGTGGAAATGAACTGAAACACAGCACAGCCAGCGCCGCACGGGCTGAATGTGAAGTTGGTGAGCAAATGGGGGTGCGTGAAACATTGAAAATGCCAAATAGAAGGCGCTGCAAAAAGTTTTAAAAAAATGAGAACAAAAAGTTTATTTTAGTGCAAGAAAATTTTCAAATGCTGTGAATTTTCATATAAGATTTCTCTTTTTGAAAAATATGTGCCTAATACTCCACAATTTAATTCAAAAAGTATTCTCACTGCTCCTCAGGTCAGTCATGGAACCATGAATTGCTGTTTCCTCCAGGTCATAAAACTGAGCTTCAGAGAAGCCAAATTCTTTGTCTTCAAGTGGCCGTATGTGTTAGGAACTGGTCTCCTGATTTCAAAGCTGGATACTAGTGAAAGTCCCATAAGCCAGCCATGATAGAGGAGACAGGCAATGCTGGTTAGAAATGGATTACAAAGGAAAAGGAAGTCTAGAACCGATGTACACTTCTGAGACTCCTGAAGCATGAAGCCACAGGAAGCTCAATACCTACACGCACGGTGACGGTGTTGGGCAGTTTGCTGAACGTCGTTTCCACACCGATTAATTTAACGTCAAAGGCAAGATGCTCTGCCAGCCGGGACGCTGCGAGCCTGCACGTGAGGAAAGGCCTCCTGGCCTTTTGGTTTACAATTTCCCTTCTTACGGAAAACACAGTAAGGGGGAGTAGCGGGAAATGAAGCCTGGGGCCGATTCAGAGACGCAAAAGACGGAAAACGGCGACCAAGTGAAAACAGTAAACGCCGTCCCTTAAAGGGAAAGATTAACAGGAGCGTGAACGGGAGCTGGAACTCCAGATAGAGGAGCCGCGCGGGAAGGGCATGGAGGCGGGGGGAGGCGAGAGGACCTCGGCCCCACAGGGACAGGCGTTCAAAGGCGCCGGCAGCCTGTAAATGGCGGGCCCAGCACCTGCGGTAGCGGCGAGGACCCACCCTCCCTCCCTAACTGGTGAGAAAAGGGGATTCATTGGGTTGAACTTCATTCTCCTTCTCGACTTCAGCATCACTAGTTCATCTTTGTGCCGATTAAAGCTAGGTCCCCGATGTCATGACGCCCGAGGCATAGGACTAGTGGCCGGCGTCGGGGTGCTCCTGCTGGTGTGCCTTGTACGTGGATGCGCCTGCACTGGCCCTTGGTGGTGAGCTAGCAGCCTAGCTCCTGGCAAGAGGGAGACGCAAAGACAAACCAGCCTACGGAGGGCGGCGAGAAGAGCCCGCCACGGCTCTTCATTTACGGGACGCTATGCACAGAACACAAGGCAGCTAGCTGTCCGCGACTGCGTCACATACGCGTCACCCAATCGAAGGCTCTACCCTACATCACCCTATTCCATTGGCCTAAATGAAAACAGCGCAGGAGCCAATCGCACGGCCACCTCTTCGCGCTCAGCAGAAGCAGCAACATAATCTACTTTCTACCTGCAGCTTTCGGCTGCGTATTTAACTATGTCCGGACGCGGCAGGCAGAGGCGAGGTGCGCATCAAGGCCAAGACGCGGCCTCCCGGGCCGGGCTGCAGTTCCCCGTGGGCCACGTGCACCGGCTGCTGCGCAAGGGCAACCGCGCGGAGCGGGGGGGGGCGCCCGTGCACCTGGCGGCCGAGACCCTGGAGCTGGCGGGCTACGCAGTGCGCAACAAGACGCGCACCTGCAGCTGGCCATCCGCAACAAGCTTAAAGCTGCGCGTCGGCTTGTGCCCGCGCCGAAGGCTCTTTTCAGAGCCATGGAAACCGCTCCTGGAGAGCCAACGTCCCCCGGGGCCAGGTGGCGAGGGCTACCCCCGACAGGCGAGTGGGGGGACACTGCACTGCGTGGAATGGTAGGGCACTCGAAGCCCACATAGCTACGTGCGAGACTGGCTGGACACGAGCGAAGGGTGGACAGACAGCTCCCTCCAGAGGTCTCTGGGTGGCTCTGAAAAGAGCCTTTGGGGCTTGGTCGGTGGCCGGACGGCGCAGCTTCTTACTTCTTCTTGGCGGCCGTCTTCTTGGCCTTCGCGGCCTTAGGCTTGGCGGCCTTGGGCTTGGGAGCCTTGGGCTTGGCGGCCTTCGGCTTCACAGCCTTGGGCTTGGCGGGGCTCTTGGCCGCCTTCTTGGGCTTGGCCGCAGCCTTGGCCTTCTTGGGGCTCTTGGCCACCTTCTTGACGGCCGCCGCCGCGGGCTTCTTGGCCTTCTTGGGCGTCTTCTTCACCGCCTTCTTGGCCCCCGCGGCCTTCTTGGGCTTCTTGGGGGTGGCGCCCGCGGGCTTCTTGGGCTTGGCCGCGCCCGCCTTCTTGGCCTTGGGCTTGGCCTCGCCGGACGCCGCCTTCTTGTTGAGCTTGAAGGAGCCCGAGGCGCCGGTGCCTTTGGTCTGCACCAGGGTGCCCTTGCTCACCAGGCTCTTGAGGCCCAGCTTGATGCGGCTGTTGTTCTTCTCCACGTCGTAGCCGCCCGCCGCCAGCGCCTTCTTGAGCGCGGCCAGCGAGAGCCCGTTGCGCTCCTTGGAGGCGGCCACGGCCTTGGTGATCAGCTCGGACACCGGGGGCCCGGCGGCCTTGCGCTTCGCCGCGCCCGCGCCCGGTTTCTTGGCCGCCTTCTTCTTGGCGGGGGACTTCTCGGCAGGCGCCGGAGCGGCGGTCTCGGCAGGAGCGGCTTCCGACATGGCGGCAGGAGTCGCTGCGGAGCCCGGAGCACAAGTTTTGGCGATGCCGCCTCGCTCGGGTCGGGGCTTATATAAGCCGGCGCTGCCTCGTGATTGGTGGAGCGTCCAATCCGCCGCCCTCGGGCCGCCGCCGCGCGAGGCTGCGTCTCCAGGTTGTGTTTGTTCGTCCCCGAAATTCGATTAAATGCAGAAAACATCGGCACGGAATTTGACGCTTAGGCGTTCCAAAGGAGGAAACCAGCCCCCAGGTTCACGGACTTGCTTGTGGGTTCGTCAACCGAGCGCAATGGAGGCGGGATATTTTTAAAAATCCCTGCGGCGTTTGGTGAGAACCCCTTGGGCTGACGGTATCCTGCTACTTAGTTGCAAGTTGCAATAAATTTCGAACAAGTATCCAGCGAACAGCGTTTAGAAGGGTTTATTCCTAGTGTCAGCCTTTGATTCCTAAAAGAGGAGCGGCGCTGGGTTCCTTGGTTTGGACGGAAACATTGTTTCTAGCTGTAGCAAATAGCACAGGGAGCGCGCAGCTGGCTGTCGGCAGCCTCACGCCGGTCACACAGAACTGGCTGTAAAGACAGTTTATGGGGGCCGAGGAGGTCTTCAGGGAATGAGGTTTTCAGCTTGGGAAACCTGGGTTTTCAGAGCGATTGTTGCGAATAGCAACCGGAGGGTCAGAAAAGCCCTTGACTTTAGAATCCAACTCCTTGAAATCAAACTCTAAATTTTGTACATTTCCTAATTAGGATATTTATTAATTGCTGGTTTAAATCTATTAAAATAGACCTGACATTTAACAGATAATTTGCATTACCAAAACAACCTCTCAAGTATGAAAAATGAACCAGGTCGCCTAGTAACCTAATAAGCGCACGAGTGCTTAAAGATGTAGGGTGATGTCTGGTCTCCGAAGCGTTCTTCCCAATGTCTGCACTGATTTCCGACAGCACTGCGTGAACTACATGATCACAAGTGCTCTTTTCTGTAAGCAGCCAGGGTGGACCAGTATGGGTGTTTTTGCAGACTCATTTTTTGGAAGACGAATTGGATACTGACTGTGGAAGGCTGAGCTGCAGTTTTCGAGAGGCTGAATGCTCTTACGGTTCAGAAAAGGATCCTGAAACAACTGAGACGAAGGCCATGAGGTCGGAATGAGGAGCGGGGTTTGCTCTCGAAGAGGGGGGAGCAGGCAGCATTTTAAAACTTTAGTTCCATATTGAAATCGATTTTAGTTTGTGCCAGTGGAAAGCTGTGCAGCGATGTACAGGCCATTTTCTCTTTAGAATCTCCCAGGAGGTTGGCAAACCGCAGTCTGAACTGGATAGTGCCCTGTTCTGTGTGGTGCTCAGTCTTAAGTTGTTATGTCTTTTTTAAACGGTTCGAAACGATGTGGTCTGCAATGTGTGAACTTTACTGCCCGCGTTTTCCACCATGTTCTATAATCCTCCACACAGGCATACAGATGTTGCTACAGGCCCTTTTGAGAAACTCGAAGAAAATGTTTGCACTAAGCACTTTTCACCGTCCCCAGCACAGCTCTCAGAAAGGGACCAGGGAAAACCCCCAAAACCATCCTTAGGGAGCTCTGGGGGTTAACAATGCAGCCAGCATTCTTTAGGGAGTGCATGTGCGGGTTTTACTCACTTGCCAACCTTACAGCTTTCTAAGCTGAAGCCCTCAGGGGAAGAGTAACACACCGTAGGCGAGTAGCTGGAGGAGTAACACATCAGACGCGAGTAGCTGGCCGTTGAGATTGAGCCTGACCCTGATTCAGCTCTACAGGGGAAAACGAGTTGGGGGCAGGTACACTTGGTAGAAAGCGCGCCAAGTTGTCCTAGCTAAAGAGGCTTCTGGCCCACGGGTCGTTAACTTATTTGCAAGCGGCAGAGCCGCAGCGAGAAAGCTCGTGTTCCCGTTTCCGATTAAATATGGAGAAAAAGACCAACTGATGGGACCATTGTATAGTTGCAGGGGAAACCCCAAACCGTGACAGGAAACCTGGGGAAATCTTTATGGCTTAGGAACTTGAAAAAGGTTTTTCCGGACAAGTTTCTGCGCCCAGTAGCCATGGGCACCGACCAGCAGACAGCTCCTCCGGGCACGTCACGTGGAAACAGCCACGCTGGGCCGTGTGGCTGCACCACAGCTTGTATAAAGTACACTACCAACCTTCAAACACGCAGACACGGCTGCTGCAGGCACGGCACCCAACACGACCCTGGGTTCTCTCCCTGCCCCCTCCCTGGACACCCTAACCGCGACCACCCCTCCGCGCGCACACTAAGTCAACAGCTCCCTCCTGGTGAGGCTGTGGGGGCTCTGAAAAGAGCCTTTGGGGTGTGGGCGGGGGGGGGGCGCCAGGCTCAGGCCCGCTCCCCGCGGATGCGGCGCGCCAGCTGGATGTCTTTGGGCATGATGGTGACGCGCTTGGCGTGGATGGCGCACAGATTGGTGTCCTCGAAGAGCCCCACGAGGTAGGCCTCGCAGGCCTCCTGCAGCGCCATGACGGCCGAGCTCTGGAAGCGCAGGTCCGTCTTGAAGTCCTGCGCGATCTCGCGCACCAGGCGCTGGAACGGCAGCTTGCGGATGAGCAGCTCGGTGGACTTCTGGTAGCGCCGGATCTCGCGCAGCGCCACCGTGCCGGGCCGGTAGCGGTGCGGCTTCTTGACGCCGCCCGTGGCCGGCGCGCTCTTGCGGGCCGCCTTGGTGGCCAGCTGCTTGCGCGGCGCCTTGCCGCCCGTCGACTTGCGCGCCGTCTGCTTCGTGCGGGCCATAGTGAAGATTCCCGAGCAGTTGGGAGAATGAGCGGAGGAAGCCGGCGCCCGGGCGTTTATAGCAGCCCTCGCCTTCTGATTGGACGATGCCTCGCTCCCTGATTGGGTGGTTACTGCGCCACGCCTCCACGCCAGCACAATTGGCGCCCCGTTTAATCCATGAATGAAGGGAGAACGTCTTCGCCGCCGTTTCGATCTTTATTAGCAGTACCGTAAGTGGACCCCGACGGCTTCCGCGCACCGGCACGCGAAGACCTGGGGCAGGCGCCTTTAGGGGCCCTGAATGTCATGGGGGGTTAAACCAGCTCTCCCTGCATAACGCGGAGAAACTGCAAGGGAACCTTTGAAAGTCAGGCGTTCTAACACCCAGGCTATGAAACCATTTTAGTGAGAATTCTCCCTTCTATGGCACACTCCACGTGGCCGCAATTCCTACGGCTGGGCCACAGCGAAGACCGGAGCTCCCATGTGGGTGCAGGTGCCCAAGTTCTTAGCGACTCTTGGTGCTTTCCCAGGCCATTAACAGGTCAGGACGCGAGCTGGCGCCTGATTGGACTATATCCTATGCGGCGCTTTTTTTTTTTTTTTTTTAATATTTATTTGAAAAGCGTTTTCAGAAATGAGAGGTCTTGTATCCGACTGCCCAATGGCCGCAGCAGCCGATGCCGAGCGAATGGGAAGCCAGGAGCCTGGAGCCTCCTCCCGGTCTCCCATACAGGTGCAAGGGCCCAAGCGCTTGGGCCATTTTCTACTGCTATCTCAGGACATTAGCGCCGGATCGGAAACGGAGCAGCCGGGACTACAACCGGCGCCTATATGCGATGCTGGCGCTGCAAGTCAGGGCGTTAATTCACTTAGGAACAGCGCCGGCTTCCCGGCGCCTCAATTGGCGCGAAGTGCTCTTTCCAGACCCCTCACAGCCGTCACCAGGGGGGAGCTGTTGACTTAGTGTGTGCGCGGTTAGGGTGTCCGCTTCGGTGTCCAGGGAGGGGGAGACCCCAGGGTCGTGCCTTCAAGGAGGTGGTAGGGTCCTTTATACAGGCTGTGGTGCAGCCTCACGGCCCAGCGTGGCTGTTTCCACGTGATGAGCACGGAGGGAGCGGTCTGCTGGCCTCGGTGCCCATGGATGTACTGGGCGCAGAAGCCTTGTGTCCGCTCAGGCCCGGACCTGCCCATTCGGATTCCCCCGGGTTTGGCGTTTTTGCTTCCGTGCGCTCTGGTGCCAGCGTGCAAGCCTCACCGAGGAGTCTATTTAGGACTTGGAGCGGCCGCCACGCCCGGCTGCATGGCCAAGCCGCGCAGCGACCCGGAGCCATGTTTCCCCACCCGGAAAGAGTGGACCCCACCCACTAACTCCTGTTATTAGGACTGCGGGTCCCGCGGTGTGTACAGCGCTCCCAGAGACTGTGGGGGCCCTGAGAAGGGCCTTTGGGTGGGGTCTGGGGCCGCGGGGCAGCTCAGCCGCCGAAGCCGTAGAGCGTGCGGCCCTGGCGCTTGAGCGCGTAGACCACGTCCATGGCCGTGACCGTCTTGCGCTTGGCGTGCTCCGTGTAGGTGACGGCGTCGCGGATGACGTTCTCGAGGAAGACCTTGAGCACGCCGCGGGTCTCCTCGTAGATGAGCCCCGAGATGCGCTTGACGCCGCCGCGCCGGGCCAGGCGGCGGATGGCGGGCTTGGTGATGCCCTGGATGTTGTCGCGCAGCACCTTGCGGTGGCGCTTGGCGCCGCCCTTGCCCAGGCCCTTCCCGCCCTTGCCGCGTCCGGACATGCCTGCGTCTGCCGGAATCACCCGTCGCAGTCGGCGGAGCCGCTGGTTTATATAGCGGAGTCTCGGACCTGATTGGGAACCCTCCGTTCCAGCTCTGAGTCCCGCCCGCAAGGACAGGAGCAGGGGGCGGGGCTTAGGCGGCACTTCCCAACATGAAGCCTTCTGATTGGGTGGGAAGTGCTCTCGGTGGCTGCTGCTGCGTTATTCGGTGCTGCCCCTCACCGGGCAGTTCCCTGGCCTCGCCTTAGCTCCAGTCGGTGTCTGCGGATTCTATCAGTGTTGGGGAGCCAGGAGCCTCTGCCGGGTCTCCCAGTGGGTGCAGGGGCCCCAAGACTTGGGCCGTCTCCTACTGCTCTCCCCGGCCACAGCAGCGAGCTGGATGGGAATTGGCCGGAGCTGGAGCAGAGCCCGTGTCGGATGCCCCCGCTGTGGCTTATACTGGGAAGGGCACACGTGTGTTGTTAGCTGTTCCTCTGAGAAATGGTGATTTTCTAAAAACAGGTAGAATGCTGGTCTACGCACCGGGATCTGTTCACATGCACATTGCTTCCTCGTAGACTTCATTGCCAGGCGAACTTAGACAAAAGACAAAATGTATACTCCGCAACCCCTGCCACCCGAGACGCAGCTCAAGGGACCACACCAGGCGCCAGGCACCTACTCGCTCAGCGGCTGCACCTGAACAGTCAACTGAGCTCGTCCTCTCTGTGGGTGGTTTCCAGCCTCTCTCTCTAGGCATCACAAAAGAATACATCCTGCTGATTTCTGGACATTGATAGGCAAGGGAGTAACCTGCGATAAAGTGTAGGGCGCGATCTACACCCTGACACCATCCTAGGCCCTAGCCCCCGCCGCCGCTGCTGGAAGCCAGGTGGCCACCTGGCCCAACCACCGTTGTCAAGCTCCACCCCCATCCTAATGGGATTCGCTGCTCCTGCTTCCCTGCGCGCCCTCCGGCAAAGTTTTAAAAGGACCTGTTCCTGAACACGTGGCTCTGTCCTCTCCTCTCTGCTCTCCTCTCCCCCTCTCCTCTCTCTCTCTCTCTCTCTCTCTCTCTCTCTCTTATACTCTCCTCTCTTTTTCCTCTTCACCCCTTCTCTGCGGTCTGCTGGGTTTTCCCCAATAAACCCTTTCCCTTGCTCCGGTGTTTGGTGTGTTTTGTGACGACCTTAGAGTGTCTTCTAGGCGAGCAGGTTCTGCTTGGAATCTCCTCACTCTCATTTTTCTCTTGCACCAGTTACTTACCTGTGCTGTGACACATTTCCCCAAATGTTGGCAGCTTCAAACAGTAAACATGACCTCACACATTGATGGCAGGTCAGAAATGGAGGGATTGAATTGTATGGATGTGGTCGTGGTCTCTCAAGAAATGAGATGTGAGGGGGGGCTGAAGTTTTCTGAGGCTTGAGTGGGGTCCGGAAAGTTCTCATACCTGTGGCTGCTGGGCGTCCCTGGCTGGAAAAGGCGGCACACAACCTGAGTGAGACACCGAGGAGGAAGCACAGGACCCGATTGTTAGGTTTTAGGGTTTTAGAGTTGGAAGAAGGGGAAGAGGCGGCTAGTTAGCTAGAAAGATTTTATATTATGGGAGACGGTTAACAGTGAGGGCTGGGCCTGCCCGGAGTTTGAGCAGCGTGCAGTCCCTGCGTATTGGGGCAGGTGCAGCGTGCCACAGGGACCCTGGTAAGGTGGGGACGTGTCGGCAGGCTCCTTGGTGAGTTGACAGTGTGGTAGCAGTTTGGAATGCCCCAGGTGAGGGGTTTTCCTGAGCAATCAGCATTTCACTGGCTGTTAGTTTACTTTTCTAACATCAGGCCTGGGGTCAAGCCCAGGGCCCTAACCAGTTGTATCAGGCCTCACTGACTGGCTTAACAGGTTCCAATACTGGTATGACCTGCTCTCTGCCATCACTCACCATCAGTCTTTCTGTGCCTTTTACTGTGTTCATTAGAAGGCAGTCTGAATTTAGCCACGCTCCAGGGAAGAGGAGTTGGGCACCCGATTTGGAAACAAGTATCAGAAGGTTTTTACATATTTCCCCAAAGCACCAACTGTAGCCTGCAAATACTAAATGCCCTCACCACCTCATAGCACCCCACACATTAGATTCTGACGACTCCAGTCTCTCTCCTAGCTGAAGAGAACAATCCAATTTCTGCCCCCTCCACTTGCAGGAAGCCAGGACTCCTGCCACAGCCCTTCCTCCAGCCACTCAACGCTTATCCAGAACTCCCCTTCGCATTTGTGGGACACTGAAAGGCTCGACTTTTATCCTCCACTATGCGGGTACCTTTGGAAAAAACTAGAATTCTAGAGGGAGTAACGTACGACCTGTCTGAACCCTAGAGCTTCAGGTTCACACTTAAACATCCGTGAAAACACTTAGGGAATTGTGAGCATTTATATAACTGTCAGTCTCTCTGCTCATCATGAAAATAAAAGTAATGGTGACCAAAAGTATCGGGGATGAATATGCAATGCAGGAGGTAGCAGGCACACAGCGACTCTCCTGCTGAGTGGGAGCTGCCTGTGTCCGTCAAGATAGTAAAACAGCGAGACTTTCATGCTGCTACCATTTACTGTGCACCTGCCGCAATCACGTTCTCTCCTACGAATGAATGTAGCAGCGAGCAGAATCGAGATCGTTCAGTTTACAACACACAGAAGATGGAGTAAGGCTCATGGGACCCTAGCAACTTATGTTCTCACAAATCGGTGAGGGACCACTTGTCTCCTGGAGCAGCTGTTGGGTGCCAGTGTCTTCCCAGAGTCAGGGTCACTAAGAAGCACCCACGTGGAGGGGGTAGTCTTCTGCCTCAGTGCAGTCGCTAGTATAAACCCGGATTCCTGCAGCGCTCTGCACCTGGGTTCTGATGCCAGTTATCACACGACTGCCTTGAGGCTCCTGGAAACTCCTAAATAAAAAGGGTTTTTTCGCAGCATCTCAGAATGAGTGCAAAGGAGAGCAATTGTTTCATCCATAGCATTCCAGGAGGTGGATTAACACTGGACAGTCAGGATGCTCATCTCACCCGAACAATGATTTCCTAGAAATAGCCAAGCACAAATGTTTCAAAACACTAAGAAAACTTGAGGCCCACTAGCTACTATTCGACCCTAGGAAAACACTAAAACTGCCAGGCCTAGGTTGTTCTCCCCTCCATTACAATGGCCCCTTACCTATTAATAGAACAGTGGAGACGCCATTGCCAACAGTACAACCAGCTAACCTCAAAGCTACCTCCAAAGTGTTCCCGTCTAAGCGCTTTAAGCAGCTGAGCATGCACTCACTTGGCTAAATCACAACCCTAGCGTTGTCCGAAAGGACTCAGGACCACGTGTTTTGCAGCTAAGCATTAGGCAACAACGTGATAGCTTCGGGGAATATACACTGAATCGCAGCGTGCAGCTTCTTTATGACAAAGAAAGTGGCTCTGAAAAGAGCCTTTGGGGTGTGGGCGGGGGGGGGGGGGGGGGCGCCAGGCTCAGGCCCGCTCCCCGCGGATGCGGCGCGCCAGCTGGATGTCCTTGGGCATGATGGTGACGCGCTTGGCGTGGATGGCGCACAGGTTGGTGTCCTCGAAGAGGCCGACGAGGTAGGCCTCGCAGGCCTCCTGCAGCGCCATGACGGCCGAGCTCTGGAAGCGCAGGTCCGTCTTGAAGTCCTGTGCGATCTCGCGCACCAGGCGCTGGAAGGGCAGCTTGCGGATGAGCAGCTCGGTGGACTTCTGGTAGCGCCGGATCTCGCGCAGCGCCACCGTGCCGGGCCGGTAGCGGTGCGGCTTCTTGACGCCGCCCGTGGCCGGCGCGCTCTTGCGGGCCGCCTTGGTGGCCAGCTGCTTGCGCGGCGCCTTGCCGCCCGTCGACTTGCGCGCTGTCTGCTTCGTGCGGGCCATGCCTGAGAATCCTACGCGCTGCGAGAGCGAGCAACCGAGAGCCCGCGCCGGCGGCCAGCACTTATACTGCTCATCCGGCCCTGATTGGGCAGAGCTGTGGCGGGCGGAACCCGATTGGAGGGAACTCCAGTGTGCGTTTGGCTATTCCCGCCCTTCGGATCCGGGTCACGGCTCCTGACGTCACATTTCGTTCGCTGCTTTGGACCAATCGCGGTCGTGTTCCGCCCACGGAGAGGATTTTTGAATGGAGCGCGAACCGTTCTTCAGGAAACGCGTTTTTGTTCGACTCTTTTGACCGCCTCAGCTGGATGCGAACGCGGAGCGGCGCGATCGTAGCCTCCCCAGCTTCCCTCGGGGTCCCTGAGGAACGGCTCCCACCCCGGCCCGGGAGCCGCGCGCGCCTCAGCCCCGACCTCCCACCGTCCCCTCCGGGAGCGCGGGACCCCGGCCTGAGAGCCGCGGTCGCCTCAGCTTCGGTTCCCTGCCCCGTCAGGCGCCCACTCTGAGCGCGGGACCCGACTCGCCCGGCTCTTATCCTAAAGCTTCCTGTCCGCGCCGCCCCGACCCCTTCCAGGGTTCGGTGAGAAGACTAGAGACCCTCCCCCCCGAGACCGGCTCCGCCGCTGACGGAGAGCCGCCATTTCACTTCCGCGAGGACTAGAGACCCAGCCCCCGAGATCAGCTCCGCCGCCGACGGAGAGCCGCCATTTCACTTCCGCGCCGCGGCAGGCGCTGGCCAATCAGGGCCGGGGGCGGGCTCTCGGACGGTGCCGCCGCCCAATCAGGGCCGTCAGCGGCCCCGCGGAGCGGAGGCGGGCAGACGCCTCTGCCGTTGGGGCTCCCTGCAGCCGCGGTAACGTTAGCCCGGCACGTCGGCCCCGCCTGGAGAGCTGCCCGCCCGGGGAGGGTGCGTAGAGTCCCGCAGGCCCTGAGTCAAGGGACAGTAAAGGCAGAGTCGGAGTCCATCGGACAGTGCAGGTGAACCTGCGCCGGTGGGCTCCCGCGGCGCCAGCACCCACAGCCGTCCCAGTGCTAGCGGAAGCCCGGCACCGGCAGACCGAGAGAGACTTGCGCGTGTCGCCTCGTCCTCCCGGCCCAGGGCAGTGTATCTGTGCGCAATCAGAACTCCCCGGGTCAACGGAGCTGGGCACGCCGGCTTGACTTCACCAGAGCCGGAGATGGGGCTCTGGTTCTTCTGCCCACTCCCGTCCCTAGGGAAGCAGACAAAGCTACTTCGAATGCTTGGACCCCGTGCACCACACAGATCAGAGAGGCCCTGGCTTTACACAACGAATCACCTTGTAGGTGTAGGGAGTGACCAGCGGACACAAGAGCCGGTTCTCCGTCTGCAAATCCAGCACTACTTTGTCTTCGTGCTTAATAGTACAAGTTTTCATATTTCCAGACTGCACACACCAGCATTCAACATCGAGTGCTGGCTCATCCGGGATCCTGTGCTGAACTCAGACCCCTGCTAACACACCTGGGAAGGCGGGGAAGCTGACCAAGTGCTTGGCCCCTGCACCCACGTGGGAGACCAGGAGCCCTGACATTGCATCGGCTCAGGTACCGCCGTCGTGGCCGTGAGGAGTGACCAGCGGACACAAGAGCCGGTCTCCGTGTCCACAAAACCCAGCACTGTGTCTTCGTGCTTAATAGTACAAGTATTCACATCTACAGCGTTGTGACCGAGTGCTCAGTCCTTTCGTGGACGCCGTGGTGGCTCTGAAAAGAGCCTTTGGTGCGGGCGCGGGCCGGGCCAGGCCGGGCGGCGCGCGCTCACTTGCCCTTGGCCTTGTGGTGGCTCTCGGTCTTCTTGGGCAGCAGCACGGCCTGGATGTTGGGCAGCACGCCGCCCTGCGCGATGGTGACCTTGCCCAGCAGCTTGTTGAGCTCCTCGTCGTTGCGGATGGCCAGCTGCAGGTGGCGCGGGATGATGCGCGTCTTCTTGTTGTCGCGCGCCGCGTTGCCCGCCAGCTCCAGGATCTCGGCCGTCAGGTACTCGAGCACGGCCGCCAGGTACACGGGCGCGCCGGCGCCCACGCGCTCGGCGTAGTTGCCCTTGCGCAGCAGCCGGTGCACGCGGCCCACGGGGAACTGCAGCCCGGCCCGCGACGAGCGCGTCTTGGCCTTGGCGCGCGCCTTGCCGCCCTGCTTGCCGCGTCCAGACATGATCAGCTGCCAAATCAAGTCTCAGCAACGTGGAACAGCGGACCCGCTACCAGCTACTTATACCCTGCTGTGGTTTCCTGACGCAGCCTGTGCCAGTGGCCGGATGCAAACTGCAGCCAATCAGAAAGCAGCAGTAAAGCCAGGCCCGCTTCCAATTTCCGTAAAACGTAACGAGTTCACAGGCCATCGTCCCGGAGGCGGGAGATGCAAAAGGAACCAATCAGAGTGCAGGATCAAAGCTAGCCTATCAGAGAGGAAGACACTAAACGAGCCAATGAAAATCCGAGTCGCTGCAACCCTTCATTTGCATTCGCACCAAACAAATAGTCGAGGTGCGTGCGCTGGCCCACACTTGGTTTCTTCGCGCTAGGAGACTCAGAGGTTTGCAGCATGCCCGAGCCCGCGAAGTCTGCGCCGGCCCCGAAGAAGGGCTCCAAGAAGGCGGTGACCAAGGCGCAGAAGAAGGACGGCAAGAAGCGCAAGCGCAGCCGCAAGGAGAGCTACTCGGTCTACGTGTACAAGGTGCTCAAGCAGGTGCACCCCGACACCGGGATCTCCTCCAAGGCCATGGGCATCATGAACTCGTTCGTCAACGACATCTTCGAGCGCATCGCCGGCGAGGCCTCGCGCCTGGCGCACTACAACAAGCGCTCGACCATCACGTCGCGCGAGATCCAGACGGCCGTGCGCCTGCTGCTGCCCGGCGAGCTGGCCAAGCACGCCGTGTCCGAGGGCACCAAGGCCGTCACCAAGTACACCAGCTCCAAGTAGACTCGTCATCGACTCGTGGCGGACCCAAAGGCTCTTTTCAGAGCCACCACGTTCTCAGGAGAAGCAGCTGTGCTGTTGTGTTGTGTTATGTCGTGTGGTGGGAGTGAGGGGCGAGGTCTTGCAGTGGCAGAGGCATCTGCCCGTCTCCGCCTCCCCCGAGGCCGTTGAGGACCCTGATTGGGCGGCGGCGCCGTCCGAGCACCCGCCCCCCGCCGTGATTGGCCAGTGCCAGCGGTGGCGCGGAAGTGGAATGGCGGCTTTTCCGTCAGCCCCGGTACTGCGCGGAGGACGCCTCTCTGTGGGGGGCTTGGGCTTTAGTCCTTGACTGTGCCGTGAAGGGGTCGGCGCGACGCGGACATGAAGCTTTAGGATAAGAGCCGCCGACTCGGATCCCCGCGCTCTCAGAGTGGGCGCCCTCCTGTACAGGGAGCTGGGGCTCTGATGCGGGCGCGGCGCTCAGGTCCGATCCCGCGCACTCAGTGTGGACGGTGGGAGGTCCGTCTCTGAGGGAGACGCGGATCTGGAAGTGTGTCCCGCACACCCAGTGTGGACGGTGGGAGGTCCGTGCTCTGAGGCGGGCGCGGCTCTCAGGTGTGATCCCGCATCCCAGAAGGGCGGGTAGGAGCAGCCCTCAGGTTCCTATGACAGTAGCCGGAGATCCCCGCGCGGGGGGTGAGGCAGCCGCGCCCGAGGGTCGGGCAGGGCAGGGGGCTCGAGGCCGGGGAAGGGGCTTTGGCACGGCCGAGCCGGCCCGGGTCCTGCGGCGGGTCCCCGAAGTGTCCTGCCCGACGCGGGCGCCCCTGGCCGCTCCGGAGCCGGACGCGCTGCCCTCTCGTGGCCAGGGCGCAGGAGCGCGGCCCGCGGACGGCTCCCTCCCGCCTGGCACTGGGGCGGGAGGCTCCGCGGAGCGACGCTGACCCCGCTGTCCCCGCATCCGCAGGAACCCGCGTGTGCCAGGCCGGCGGGGGGCGGGGTAGACGGAGGGATGGTCGTGTTGGGTGTGGTCTGAGTTGCTCAATACAAACTGAACGTTCTGTACCCTAGGACCAGACAACAGGATTACGCTTTCTGGTTCCGGTCCTCAGAAGCACCGAACGTCTCCAGGCGGCTTTTGCGGGGTTGCTGCCCGCCCCCTGTCTGACCCGGGAGGACGATAATCACGCGGTTTAAGGCGCAGTTCGCCCACCACGAACAGGCCGCTGTCAGCCTGGTCATCTGTCACTTCGCAGTCTTCCTTTTGCCCTTTTCCTTTAAGCACCTGTGAGTTCTCTTCCAAAGTTCCACTCGCGTACCTTCTTTGGAGAGAGACTTTCTCTTCCACGCATCCCGCTGCAACCGGGCTTCACTTGATAGGATTCACACAGCACAGAGGCCTAAACTACAGACTTACTTTCTCGCCCTCTGGCTATCAAAGCCTCAGCAGGGCTGAGTCTCTCTCCCCTTGTTTATGCCCACCCATGGCCTGCCTTGTGCCCTCCAACGCTGCCCTCTCTTCCTCTGTGAGGCCACCAGAGCCCTGTCTCCATTACCATTCACGTCGGAGATTAAGACTTAACGCTGAGATTTATTTATTTGAAAGACTGAGTCGCAGAGAGAGAGGGAGAAAACCATCTTCCGTCCCCAAGTGGCCACAACAGCTAGGGCTGGGCCAGGGACTGCATCCACGTCTCCCATGTAGGTGCAGGGGCCCAAGGGTTTGCTTTTCCAGACCATTAGCAGGCAACTGGATCAGAGTGGAGCAGCCAGTGCTCAAACGGGTACCATACCCAGTACGCCACAACGCCGACCCTTCCCCCCATTCAGTTCTTAACAGCGCTTAGGACTGTTTTCCATGCTTCAATCCCAGCCTGCTCTTCCAAATTCTCTTTGCTGAAATGGCTAAAGTGACCGTTGAAATTTCCTAAACCAGAGGTGAAAAGCTGATTGCCCCTGAGGTCTCAGCAGATGAAAGCAAAAGTGGCTGGGTGTGAGAGACCAGGCCTCACGTGCACAAAAAGTGCCCTTGGCTGTTCTCCCTGAAGCACGCAGCCTTCCGACACTGTTCCCTTTCTCTAGTTCTGGAAGAGATACTGACCAAGACGTGTCCCACTGTTCTTTTAATTCTGCCATGAGACCGAGCGTGGCACCAGAGCAGCTGGCGTGTGGGACGTGGGGGCCTGTGGGAGCCACAGAGAACAGAGGAGCACAAGGCCCGCCCACGCCGCTCACAAGGTGCCTTTGTAGCTGTGTGGGCACAGACAGGGAGCCTTTCAGCTTTCCAAGAGGACATGCGTCTTCATCTAATCTAGTTTTTCAATACTGGCAACCAATAATTATATGTATATATATAACACGCTACAGACTAAACAAAACCAACGTCTGCTGCCATCATCCAGTCATCTCGCTCAGGATCTCTGGCCACAAACAAAACCTCAGCCCATAAAAGCTGTCTGGTCTATTGACCCTGCCAGGCCAAGGTCAGACACCCCGGCCTTCCCGGCTTTCTAGATCCTCAAAACCCCCTCCCCTCTTGGCCTCTCTGGGAGGGGCACTAAAGTGGTTGAAAGAAAAACTAAATTCTTCACTCACAGCAACGAGGTGACGGCGGTAAAAAATGTTTGGAGTTGTTTAGTGTGGATTGAAGAGTTATATGGATCTTTGCTTTTTTTTAATATGTTCTTTGCTTCTTGTGTTACATCTGTCTTATATTTTAATCAATATTTTTAAAAGATGTATTTATTTGAAAGGCAGAGATACATAGAAAGGGAAAGACAGAAAGAAAAAGAAATCTTGCATTGGCTGGTTCAGTCCCCAAATGGCCACAACAGCTGGGGCTAGGCCAGGCGGGAGCCATGAACCTGGAACTCTCTGACCCCAGAGCTTGGGCCATCTTCGGCTCTCCCAGGCACAGCGGCAGGGAGCTGGATGGGAAGTGGAGCAGCTGGGACTTGAATCATGTGGGATGCCATGGACACAGGGGGCTTGACCCTCTGAACACAGCACTGGCCCCTTAATGTTTCAATTAATACATCAGTTATATACATTAAGGGGACACGGTGTGATGTTTTCATACATGTGAACAAACAATAGGGAGTGATCAAATGGTTGTCATAGCTAGTGATTAGCATATGCACCTCCCTTGGCTTTGTTATTGTGACACATTCTATCTCTACTCTCCTTTGATCCTACTCTGAAATGTCCTCGTTGCTCTCTAGGGAGTGTTGCTTTCTCACCTTACAATGAACAAAAGCAGGAAGGAAGGAAGGTGGAGGGGCCTGGAATCAGGCTGAAGCCCAGCCCCTTTTTCTGTGCTGTGGCCTCTCTGCTAGTGCTCCTGTTTCCAGAACAGTCTCCCCTGCCTCCACCCCCCTTTCCAATGTTCCACTACAGGGGACACAGGCTCAGATCCTGTCTAGGTCAGCTCTCTGTCTGTGATTAGGGATTTCATTGACCTCCACTCCTGTGAGAAGCAGGAAGAACTGGCTGTGTTTGTCAGACTTAAAGAAAGAAATAGCACCATGCCTGAATTCTTGAGGGAAGAAAAAGATGTCAGTTTGCATCTCCTGTATAAGGAAACATGTTTTTTAAGAGCAAAGCAGTCGTTTGCGAACGTTTTGAATCTGAATGCTACTTCCCTGAGTCCTGGTGACAATGTCCAAGGTCTGGCTGTCAGAGGCCACGGGCTGTTAGAGTCGACCGCCCGAAAAACGTCACCAAGAGACACGTCTCTTATGCAAACAGCACGGGGAAGTTTTATTGATTATCCAGCATGCTGGGGCTGTCTGGTCATACATGAACAGAGCAGCCCCGAATAACCAAAGGTTAGGGTTTATAAAGGCAAAAACCGCAAAACCGGGAAGGGGAAGAGAATACACGGTTGCTAAGCGGTTGCTAAAGTCTTACAATCAGCAATTATGATCTTAAGACATAGACAAATCACATCTTCATTATTAGCCCAGGTAACCCAGGCGCAACCTTTCTACTTTTAAGCTTGAGCAATCATGCTAGGGGGTTTTTGTGCGTTGCCAAGGGTGATGTAGTGCACTGCTATTGTCCGACTATTTGAGATCATAGTTCAGCCCAGATTCCCCCGGGGGGGGGGGGGGGGGGGTGCTTTCCCAGAATGCAGTCTCAAGTGCTCCAAAATGGAGTCCCTACTGTCAAGGTGCTACTTCACTCTGTCTTATTTTCACAGCTGCACCAGGAAGGTTTAAACCTGTAAGCTTAAGCTTAACTTTTTACACCCACACATATACAATTTTAACTCTTCATTCCCCACTCCTTGTGAGGATCTCTAATCTTATAGATTATTTGTTTTTGTCTTTTTTAATGTGACATACTGTTGTTTTATAACCATGAGTTTAACATTTTTAACTTGTTCCCGCACGAAGGTGATGAGTCTATTTAACACACAAGGTCCTATGGTTACAATTAGGAGTAAAACAATTAAGGGTCCTGTTAGGGCTGACAGTAGAGTAGTAAGCCATGGGGACCGGCCAAACCATGACTCAAACCATCCCTGTTGAGTTTCCCTCTCCCGTTGCCATTTTTCCAGTCGTTTTCTGAGTTTGGCCATGGAGTTTTTAACCACCCCAGTTTAGTCGGCATAAAGACAACATTTTTTTTTTTTTAGGGCCGTGCATAACCCCCCACCATGAAAATGAGATTTAACCCCCACCTGTTTTGTAATACTGAAATGCAGATACTGGGCTGCATCTGGGAGATTGTGGAAGATTTCTCAGGCAGAAGGGGCTGGATCTCCACCTGGCAGGTTATCAGGTAGAAGGGGGCAGGGCAGGATGCGAAGGCCAGGCTGCCCGTGAAACATTGTCAGGATGACTGAGATACAGATGCATATGCTGGACACATTAGGCCTTTATGTCACACACACATAAGCTTATAACTGACTTTCTGCCTAATATTTTCCCCTCAAGAGGTAATACCCAAAATTCTTCTTTGGGATTATGGATGGAGTTCCATTTTCTGTAACTTCTTCGAAGCTGGCATGTGGGTGTCGAGGGGATTTGGGTATTTCCTCTTGCTACCTGTCTTATGGTGTGCAACAGTGGCCTTGGAAAGACTG